GGCAGCTCCGCTGTGCACCTCGCCTCCACTTCCGAGAGAGACCAGCAGATAGTTTTCACAAATACCTGTTTTTACCACCATTTCTGATAGTTGTGGCAGAAATGCCTGCAGTGAGGGTCCTGCCGCAAGGGGGTCTCAGTGCTCTCAGCCGGCTCATCCTCGGTGTGCAAGCTTCTGGCGCTGATGTGACAACTTTCACGACTTGGAGCATTAAGTGAGTGGACCTGGCAGCTCTCACTTCCAGAGATCAGAAAGCTAGAACAGTTTCCTGCAAACTTGCCAGCTGGCTGTAGCTGACCGGCCTCACCTCATCGGGCTTCCTTGGCTCTCACACTGGGTCACTCCCGTGGCCTCCCAGACCCAGCCTGGTGTGAGCCTTCCTGACCTGCAGCCCACTTGCATTAGTGTCCTGAAGGTCTAGGGTATGGTCTCTTGTGTGGGACACTGTTCTCTTCCCCCTGAGGCAGACGGCAAGGAGCAGTGATCACACACTCAGAGCCGTCTGTCCTTTAACCCTCTGACCTGCGGTTTCTGCTGTTTGTGGGACATGTGCGCTCTAATGCCATTCATGGTCTTGACTGGGGCTCTGGGCAGGATCAGCAGGTTGCTGACAAGAGGCTACCGTGGGCTGTAGTCTGTGGAGGACGAAGGCTCCGTGCACGAGGCTGTGGACTGTACTGTGCCGGACCCTGAGGCTCTGGGGAGGTGTGCTGGTCCAGGCTCACCGCTCAGACTGGATCAGCCTGGAGAGGAAGCAGCTGAGCTTCCTGAGGGTCTACACAGCCCTCAGCTGGGCTCCTGTGTGGAAGCGTCACAACTGCCTGGCGAGGAAGGGTGACTGCTGGGAGGCTGCTTTAATGGGGGCCTATGGAGAAGAAAAGTAGGACTATCCCAGAATTAAATTATGAGCCATGGTGGTGTCATGGCTAATGCAGAGGAAAATAAACAGCTGACACACAGGATGGGGGAGTCAAGGACGCTTGGACATGGAGGCTAACTCTGGATGGGGCCATGTCCTTGAAGTCCATACGATGAACCCCAGATACCTGCCTTCCAAACTCTTGAGACCATGACTGCCAGGATGCACACAGAGGTGGCAGCAGGGGGAGCTCGTGCGGTTGGGCTCTGCTCCAGGTGATGGCATCCTCTCACAGAGGGGACTGTGGTCCTGGACACCAAGAGCCAAGGAAGGGCCTCAGAGGGAACTTGTCCTGCTGACCCTCTATTAGGGATGTCTAGGCCCCCTGTGCTGGGAGAGAAATGGCTGCTGCCATGTAAGTCAGTCATCGGCTGTTACCAAGCCCCAGTAAGCCAATGAGGTCAGATGACATTAGCTAAGTTGCCCTCTCATGATGGAAGAACAGGCCTGCAGCTGTGGATAAGAAGGTCATCATATTGTCTAAAATAGACTCATCATTTGTCCCAGAACAAAGTTTCCAGGGAGCCACACAACGATGCTAAGCGGGGCTGGCTGAGGCCAGAGCCAGTCTGTGGGTCGCTGCCAGGTGATTTCAACAGAGGGGCTTCAAATGGCATGGGGAAGTTGGCGGCACCCTTCAAGCATTGTAAGGAGAGTCCCTGGGAACCAGCATGCAGGTTATGACGGGCCAGTTCTGCAGGCAGCTGTCTGAGGGTGAAGGCGGCCTTCCAACCCTGGCCAGGTCAGCCATCTCGGCACAGGTGCTCCCGCTTCAGTGGAGACAGCCTCCCGCCAGCACTGTTGTCACTGGCCAGCTTGGCGGTACACTGGTTGTAAGTACTTGAAGCTGCTATGTTTGGGAGTGGGTCACACTGTGGGGCCACAGGCACAGGCTCACAACCAGAGCTCTCCCAGAGGACACGAGGACACCTGTTGGACCCAGCCAGCACAGTCAACTGCTGTGTTGACTGCTTTCACCAGCGGCTTGAAGATGTGAGAAATGCTGTAAAGGAGTAGGAGTGGAAGCCAAGAGAGGAGGTGGTGTGTTGAGCCAGGCAGGGGCGGAGTCTCAGACGGAACAAGGCTCCCTCTGGTAGAGAGAATGCCAGGTACAGCTCCTCCGCTGTAACTCACTGACCATGGACAGGGCTGGCACCCTGCAGCTAACATCCAGTGTTAGGAAAACAACCTCAGACTCTGACTGCAACTAAAGAAATCCAGCACGCCACAGGTCCCACGCAAATGTAGAGGTGTACTCCCCGCCCCCACGTAAGGAAGCCCGGCCTGAGGAGGGAGCCCCGGGAGGGTTTCCTTCTGCCATAGGGAGCAGGCTGGCTGCTCACCCCAGGACAGGAGAGGCTGGCTCTCAGCACAACCCGAGCATGAGAGAGGACAGTGCCCTGCTCCAGACCCCATCACGCCTGTGTCTCCAGCTCTTTGTTCTCTTTGGTTTTGTTCCAAGAAGTAAATAATGCTTATGGCTTCAGATTTCTCTCTCTCTCTCTCTCTCTCTCTCTCTCTCTCTCTCTCTCATTCTCTATCTCTCTCTTTCTCTGTCTCTCCTTCTCTTCATAAGTCAGAAACAAAATTTCTTTGCATTTTTAAAATAGTATGCTAAAACAGGATTATATTTCTGTTGCCAATTTAAAAAGCAGACCAACAAACTATTGCATAATTCTTTGTAACTATGCACAAAACTGGCAAAAAGCCTGTGGAGTCTTCAAAGCTCCTAGAGAATGTCACTAGACACGGTCACATGCTGGCCAGGTGCCTCCTGGGTGTGGGCTGTGGCTTCTTGGAGAGTCTGACGGCATTGGAGACTCTGGCCTGGGGGAGGGGACGGTTCTGGCCCTGGCGTTCCTTCTTGTGGGTCTCCCACACCTCCTGCCACCTCAGTGCCCCAGTGCTGGGCTGCCATGGCAGGGTTTTGACAGAGCCATACCAGCAAAAGGAACAGCAGCAGGCAGAAGGTGGGGCCCTTCACAGTCTTGCAAAAGCCAGGGGATGCAGGGAGTAACAGGAAGGCATAGGTGAGGTGCGGACTGGAAGAGGGCCTGAGGGAAGGTAAGGGATGAGGGAGCCCCGAGAGTCATGGCAAGGAGATGAAGAAAGACGTTCAGCATGGATGATGGCCCTGCTTTTGTGCCAGGAACGGAATCCTCAGCCTGTCACTCACCCTCCTGTGGGGCATCAGCGTGTATGCTCATAGACAGAATGCCACGGAAAAATACTCCTCAGCGGCCTTTTATTCTGTGGCAGGCCCTGCTCCTCCAATACGAGAGAACAGAGCAGCCCAGAGGAGGAGGGGTTCCCCAGAGTCTGGGGCAGGGGTCAGCAAGCCCTAGCTGGAGGGCACTGCTTGAGAGGGAGAGAGGACAGTTAGAAGGGGTCTTGGGAGCTGGAGAGGAAAGAGGCCATGGCTAGTGCTCGTGGCTGGGATTCCTCCAGCTGGAGAAACTGGTTCCTCTGGCGACCCTGACTTCCTAGCAACTCGTGCTTTTCACAGCCCGTGCAGCCGGGAGCTGGGCGGTGGAGTCCCATTGCCAGGTACCAGAAGTTGGCATTGGTCATGTTCCAGGCATGCCTGGAAGCATTTCCCTCTCTGATGGGGACAGACAAGGCCGAGCATCTGTCTTTCACAGAGGGCCATGGTCCTCCCCACAGCCGTCACAGGGATGCCAGCCTCTGGCCTGTGCCCGGCTCTTAGGGAGGACACGCCCTGAGGAGCAGATGCACTTACTCCATTTTCCCCCACCTCATCTCCCCTCCCCCACCTACTGCCCAGCCCTGCCCCACCACAGGAACAGTGGCCTGGTACCCAGGCATCCCAGCACCTGTCAAGAGTCTCTGACATGTCTGGTGCTCAAGAAAGCCTGACTGCTGAGTGGACATGCTTTGTTCTGCTTTCTTCTAAATACAAAACCTGTAAGCTACCACTGTGGCTGTCTAAGGGGAGCAGAGGGGGAAAACCAGCTTCCCTCTGGCAAATGTGGACATGCAGAAGAGTGGCCTGGATTCTGAGGGCTCACTTCTCTGCCTGACTTTAGCACAGAGCTTCCGGCCTTGAAACTCAGGACAAACTCCTCCGTTTGTTCTGAGAAGCCACGGGGGTCTGACTGAATGGGATGCTACAGTGCCCTGCTGTTTGCATGAGAGTCCCTAGACGCTCCTGGCCTGCAGGCTGGAAAGCTCCGTGTGGGCCCAACGACAAGGCATACTCTACCATCTTAGCACCAGGCTTCACTCTGTGTGCTCTTTGATGCCAACCTAAGACCAGCATGGCTTTGCTAGGCTCTCAAAACTGGGCTAGCAAAGCTCATTGTGTGACTTCTGTAATTCGAGCCGGTGCCTCCTGTCCTGAGGTGGACGTGTAGCTGATGTATCGACATGCACCCACCATCACTCAACTGACCAGTGTTCATCGAGCGCCCATTCCTGGGGAGACTTTGGTCCCTGAGGCTTTCCCTGTGTGGGCTCATATGTTAGTCAAAGTCCAGCCTTTCCCTAGGTCACGTGACACCCATGGCTAGTGATGCGGAAGAGGCTCAGGCACTACAAAGACCTACAGCCCAGTTCCTAACCAGGGCTCTGAACCCTGCATGGCCGCCTAGCGGGTGTTAAGGGCACCATAAGAAACTCCGTCCTTCTCTTTTGCAGTGGCTTCAGGACAACAGTGACACCATCAATGCTTGTGGCAACTGCACCAGTGACATCAGCGACTGCAGTCAGTGCTGAGCTGGGACACAGAGCTCCGTGTTAACCCGAGTGCCCATCCCCTGTAGCACGGTGAGTTCTCAGACCACAGGATCCCATCGGTTTCCTACACTAGCACCAACGGCAGCCGCTGGGCTTCCTGAGGCCCCAGCTGCCATTCTCCGGGTTCTGGCACCGGATGCAAAGAGGGAGACTGACTTTTGGGGATGGAGCAGCTGTAGGGGGAACAAAGCACCAGTCTTCAGTGGGGGCCCAGGTCTGCAGACAGAGATGGAGAGGACCTGAGGGCCCTGCCGAGAGTGGTGGGCAGAGGGAACCACAGCCAGGCGTGCCCACCCCTGCCGGGTCACCCGGGCTAGGTACATACAGGTCAGCACGGCCAGGGAGCGGTTCTTGGCTGCGTTCTCCTCTCTCTGGGCCACAAGGGAGCTGTTGGGCTCGGCTTGGTAGGCACACAGCGCCTCCCACTCCTTCTCCAGCCGGTTCTTGTTCTTCAGGTGGTCTTCCATGTAGGCCTGGAAAGAACACACAGAGTCAGGAGTGTGGATCCAGGACTGGCCCATGCCAGGTCTGGGAAGTGTGGAGTATGGCAACTAGTCTAGCTTTTGGTTTAGGCTGAATGTGTGTGTGATTTCCCCGCCTGGGGCCTGGGCATCAGCGTGAGACTGGAGCTGTGAAGTGCCCTTGAGCAAGGGTCATCTGCCATGGAAGATGGGTCACCTTGCCAGGCCGCATTTCCCCAGCCAGACAAAACTGGCAAAGACAATGTGTCCAGCTGGGGCTCGGGGCCGGCTATAGGGGTAGCATTTGCCCGGGTGGAGAGGGATAAACTCACGGCCCAGAGGCCAGGTCAGCATGGTGGCTGTGCTGAGGAGTGAGGAGAGCTGGTCCGAGGAGGAGCAGGATGAAGGGGCTGTCCACAGGGCTAACTCGGACACTGGACTCAACAGTGGGAGCCATGGGAGGCTTCTGAGGAGGGACAGCTAGGGTGTGCACACTTGAACACCCCTGAGGACAGCACTGCTCAAATCGAGGAAGGGAAAGACACAGCCAAAGGAAGTTCCAGGAGGAACAGCGGTGCCCACTCAGGGAGCAAGACTAGACAAAGCTACCGAGGAAGGTGGGGTGCGGCCCTGCGTGGCCAGACTTCATTTTCTCCTCTTCCCAAGAGGACCCTTGGGTAATCTTTGAAGTTATTTTAAAAAAACCAGCAAGTGAGCTGCTCGAACCCTACTTTGTATGCACCCAGCTAGAAAGCCTCTGGGTAGAGCTGAACCAGACCCATAGCCTTCCCCAGGCCCTGGGTCGGGAGGCAGAACTCTCAGCTTTCTGAGGGGCTCAGGAGAGAAAGACCTTCTCTGCTGCACCCAGGGGGTGGGCATGTCACTCAGGGCACACATTCCTAATTAATGGGAGCTACGGTGTTCTCCCACCGTAGCTGGTGGGGCTACCAACCTACCAGACACAGCACACACTGGCATGGAGACACGTGCACTGTTAGCACAGATGCAAACGTGGAAACATGGCTGCCAGGTAGGTATCTTAGGAGGCTGCATCTCCTGCATCAGTCCAGAGCCAGGAACTCCGATGACCCTGCCTGCAGAAGCTACCTTTTTATTAGAGGTAGAACATGGCTTCACCACTTATACCTGGGCCGCTAAGAGCTGTGCAGAAATGTGAGCATCTCCAGCGCTAACCAAACACCAACCGCAGGAAGCCAAGTGTGATCCTGGTCGTTTCAGGCTTCCTTTTCCCTGTGGGCGCGCAATACTGCTGGTGGCTGATACAAAGGCCTCAGCCATTTCCTGCCACCAAGACACTGTGGTGTGCACAGCTTGCCAGCCAGCACCCTCGCTCCAGAAATGAGAGAATTAAAAAACAAAAACAAAAAAAAAAAAAAAAAAAAACAAAAAAACAAGAAAGAAAAAGTAGATGCTTGGAGGACCAAACCCGGCCGGCCTGTGGTTTCTGCAGGACGCGGTGGTCTGTCTTCCTCAGTGCTGTCTAGTGTGGCTCAGCTTTTCTTCCTCCCCTTTCTTTTCTTCCTCTCTAGGCAAGTGCTCCACTACTGAGCTGTGTCAGTTCATGGGTTTTAATCTGCTATATGCTGTGTGCAGACATAGGTTTCCAAGTGTGTCTACATGAGAGAAAAAGGGCGTGGACATCTGTGCCTGCTGGACACACAGCACAAAGCAGCCCGCACCTGACAGCCTGCCAGGGCTCGAATTCCTCCCGCTGCTCCTGCCTATTGCTCCCACTCACACCTTCCACTCACCGACCCCAAGTGTTTAACAAGCCACGTGGTCTCTCAGCCAACCCACACCCCTAACACCTGCTCCAAATGACGGGCAGGGAGACGGCAGAGGCAGGCACTCTGACCCTGGTGACTCAGGAGGGAGCGGTCCTCACTCAGCTGTTCCTTGAAGCTTTGACAGGAGCACGCTGGGGTCCCTCTGGTTAACTGTGCCCTGCTGTGCCACGGCCTGTGCCCTGGAAGCCAGTGAGCACCAAACAAGCCTCTAGGGATGCTGGGGAACCTCTGGCCCCCCGACACATGAGGGGGGACCAAGACGGCTTGCATAGAAGGCCCCCATTGCAGCTGGCTGCACTGAGGCTCAACAGACACTAATCTGTCCACTTTTCCCGCTCGGTGCTGGCCCTCAGGTCCCTCCAGCATGGAACCAGAACCCATGAGATAGAAAGATGTGAAACTGGACAAAACAGGGGTGGGAGAGGAGGGGGAAGCAGTGCTTCTCAGCCTGTGGGTCATGACCCCTTTGGGAACCACATATCAGCTATCCTACACATCAGATATTTACACTGTTATTCATATCGGCAGAAAATCAGTCAGGAGGTGGCAATGACGTCATTTCACGGCTGGCGTCAGCACAGCAGCAGGAACTGTATTAAAGGGCCGCAGCGTTAGGGAGGCTGAGAAGCTCTGATCTGGAGAACAGAGCCACAAGCACGCTCCTTGGAGATACTTGTGTCTGGGGAAATGGCTTAGTGGATAGCGAGCTTGCCGTGGAAGCATGAGGGCCCCAGTTTGATGCCAGCATCCGTGTGGACGGAGGCATGGTGGTGTGAACCAGAATCCTAGAAGGAGGAGACAGTGGACCCTGGGACCTGATGGCCAGACTCGGCCTAGTAAAACTGGCAAGTTCCAGCTCAGCCAGAGACCCTGCCTCAAACATAAGATGGAAAGTGGTTGAAGAAGATGCCCAACGTTGACCTCCAGTATTCACACTCACAGGTACACACAGGCATGTATACCACACATACAATACATACGTGAACACATACATACATGTGCACACACATACAAACACACGCACACATGTGAATGGATATAATCACTGGGGAACATCAAAGCTGTATTTTTGTGTACAGTTAATTTTTTTCTTTAAAAATATATTCTTACATGCATGATGTGGGAGCATTTCACAGTGTTATATGTGGAGGTCAGAGGACAGCCTTAGGGAGCCGGGTTTCTCCTTCCAATGTGAATTCCAGGAATTGAACTCGGCTTTGCCAGCTTGCACAGCAAGACCTCTGACCTGCTGAGCCATCTTGCTGTCCTTTCACACCAGTTCTTTAAGACAGGGCGACCTCTTCACAGGGTGACACTTCTGTGACATTCTGGTTGTACAGACTTGGAGCCTGCAGTTGCTTCCTTCGTATGAGGAGCAGGCAGCGGTGGATCTGGGCAGAGAGGCTGGCCCTGGCGTCCTCAGAAAACCCTGTCAGAAAGCCCGTTATGAGCAGCGGCCCTCTCTGTGGGAAAACGATGTTTGGGTGGCAGGCTGTGGCTGGATCACCACAGCTCCAGGTCCCGTGGGCCTGTGAGCCCTGTTCCTGTGAACCATCAGCAAGTTCTCTTGAACTTCTGAGTCTGATGACACCTGAGCTGTGCACATCAGCTTGGGTGGAGGGAGAGAAGCAGCTCTTGGCACTGTGGTTTTCCTCCTGAGGGTTAAGTCAGGTGTGGATGAACTTGTTTATAATGAAACTGAGGTGAGCGCATTCTCTCAGCCAGCGCCACTCACCCAGCCTGAATGCCCCTATTTGATCAGCAAAAGAAGGCGATGGCCTCACCTCCCAGCCATGTTCTAGGCTGTGATGCTTTACCTTCACTGTCACCTAAGATCTGTACCTCTGGCTGTGCCCCTGTGTGAAGGAAAGTGTCACCTGAGGTGGACGGCGGCACCACGGGCTGGGGGCACAGGCTGAAGAAAAGAGGGGCAGGGCGCCAAGTTCTGGATTCCTCTCTGGGCGCTGTCCTCCGAGCTGGGAGGACTCTCCTGCCACCCCCACCCATGGAATCCGTCTGCACTGGCCCAAACAAATGTTGTTTCCCTTCAGTCACTTTCCGTCATCATTTGGTTGCAGTAATTAATGCGGAGGAGCCTTTCTTTGTCCTCTGCGGTTTGTGGCAGAGCCTGTGGGGAGGCTCGGCCTTCAGAGCAGAATAGCACACGCTAATCAATGGGGGAAAGACCGAAAATTGCCACATGGTTCTGTCCTGTGGCCTGCTCCTGCAGCAGGACCAGGAGACACCGAGCACCGCCCTCGGACCTGACAGCTCTGGTTGCCAGGCCAACGAACTTGCAATTGGAGTTTACACGTTTGCTGTGGTGGGAATCCGACTCCGAGTGTTTAAAAACGGCCATTTAAACACCTCTGCCTGGTGGTTCGGTTGGTTTTGGTTTTTCAAGACAGGGTTTCCTTGTGTAGCCTATGCTGTCCTGGAACTAGAAATGCAGGTGTGAGGACTGGGCAGGTGGGGGTGACCTTTTGGTTTTGGTGCGTGTACATGTTCACATTTGAGTGTACATAGGTGTGTACTGTTCACGTGTGAATGTGTATGCGGAGGCTTAGAGGTCTATGTCCAGAGTCCTCCTTAGACATGTCCACCTTGGTCTTTCCGACAGTCTCCCCTCATTGAGCCTGGAGATCCCTCATTCGGCTAGACTGGCTGGCCAGCAAGTCCCGGGGTCCTCCCACCTCTAGCACTTGGGTTACTGGTTCACGCCACCACGCCTGGCTTTTCTATGGGTGCTGGTTCAAACTTAGGTCCCCATCCTTATGTGGCAAGCTGTTTACCTACAGAACCATCTTCCTAATCCTAAGGTTTTTTTTACTGTAACTTTTCTGTTACATAAGTAGCACATAAAGAAAGGAACAGAAATGAAGACAGAATGAAACAAAACAGGAAAATAACTAACGCCATGGACATTGTAAGCCTTTGATGAATTCTCTTCTTCCTGGCACCTGGGGGGTGGGGTGGGTCTTTTGTTTGTTTGTTGTTGTTGTTTGATTTTATCTTTAGAGACTGCTGTAGTTTAGGCTTTGAACATTCACTTCCTTCCCAAGGGGAAAAGCTGCCCATACCAGGTGTGATCTCACACCTGGGAGGCCAGATCCTAGAGAAGTTAAACAGCTGATTGGGGACCCCTAATCTGCAAAGCCTGGCCTCAGGACCCCCTGCTGACCTTTGCCTGGCAGTGGTCCCAGC